AATGGCAACCCAAAACGCTTTACAAAGCCCTGCTACCTAGGGTTTAATATCAACCCAAAATGCTTTATCACTCACCTGACAAGTGAGGACTCTCAACATTGAAGACCTGCTCAGGGCAGCATCCTGACCTGAGACACCTCAAGGAGTTTCCTTGGGCAGCATCCTGACCCAAGGGGAGAGTCCTCAACCCCAGTGTGCTTGTTGCTCCAGGGGCCCAGCTCCAAATGGCTCCCAGGGGACTCCATTTATATCCAGGCTGACTCTGACCTGTAGTCAATAGCGGTTCCCATTGGCCAAAAGCCTCAACTACCACGAGGCCCTGAAAACAAAGGCAGCCAGGAGCTGCTACACTGCAGTAGCCAAGAAGCTCTGTTTTCACTGAGCGGATGCACCTGCCACAATAAGCTCTTTTATCCCATTTTGGTGACACAGGTACTTCTTGAATTAACACAGAGTTCTGGGCACCAGCCCACAGGAAAGTGCTATTTTCCAGTGAATGCATTAAGTACTTCCCAACACACCACCAGTACCATGCAGGCACAGCTCTCTCCTGCTCTGGTGTGTCACGGTAACAGTCTTGTTGTTGGCACATGCACAGCTAGGCTGAGCACACGAGGGAAAGCAGATGCAGACAGAGGCAGAGGGTTATAAAGTTCTGGCAGGGATGGACTCCGCTGCCCCAGTGTAAGGGGCACCCCTGGTACAGGGGCCTGCTGTGAAAATGAAGAGCAAAATATGGGTGGGTTTATTTTTCAGTAGTTCCATGACCCATAAGGCGTAGCCCTGGTCCTAGGACTACTGTCGCATAGAACTGTGAACAGATACTATTAGTTAAGCCTTCCCTACCCAGCCAACCATTACCAGCACCATACCAATTCCACAAGCCACAAAGCAGAACTCTGCAATTTTTCTTTTAGCTTGCACTCCCAATGAGTTATTTTAGGCATCTACTTTTGCTGGAGGTATGATGAAATTTCTGCTTGTCATGTACAAAAGCATATTACCAACGTGAGAGCAGCTGTTTTAGTTTGTTCTCTAATAGCATCTCCAGGTCAAGTTACCTGTCTGTGAGAGATTGATCCCAGGGTCAGCAGACTTCAGCACAACTGACTTACAGAGTGTCTAAGTTAAAGACACACTCTGGAAAATGTTTTTTGCTCTTAGAGGTACACCACGCAATCTAGAGCAAAGGGAAATCTAAAGTGAATGGGGTCTTAACAAGATAAGGAGAAGCCAGTGCATTTCAAATAGCAAAACCAGATTTTAATTCCTTAGGAAAAACATATTTCAACATATTTTAGCTGAAGGCTTTAACAAAAACATTAAAGCAAAAATCAGCGCAAGTTTGTTCTGCTTATTATGTAAAGCATGTACTCTGTGAACACATGTTACAGACTGCTTTCAGGGATGAATGAAAATCACCAGGAACTTCTCCTCTGTCAGTAGTGGCTGCAGCCACAGCAGTGCCCATCTCCCCTCATGCCAGCTCTGGCACTTACCAAGCTGCTCAGTGAGCCAGTTCAGTTCACTACGTGAGCAGGAAATACACTCTTTTTATTTGCAGGGTTTGGCTTCTGCTATTTTAGTGAGTTTAAACTGCAGTGGTGAGCTGAAGTGGGAGGCCAACCAGCGGTGAGCAACTGAGGCAAAGAAAGTGCATCCTCTAACACACAAACCTTATTAGGTGCATACACTGTGCCGTTTTCAGCTGGGACAGAGCTATTTTTTTCTTTTTAGTAGCTAGAATAGTGCAGTGTTTTGGATTCAGCACGGGATTTGGTATGAGAATAATGTTGACAAAACACTGATGTTTTTATCTGTTGCTAAGAAATGAAGGACTTTTCAGTTTCCCATGTTCTGCTAATGAGCAAGTGCACAAGAAGCTGGGAGAGAGCAGAGCCAGAGCAGCAGACCCAAACTGGCCAAAGGTATATTCCGTATCATACAGTGTCCTGCTCAGTGTATGGATGAGGGTTGGCCAGGAAGCTGACTCTTGCTTCTGTGCAAAGCTAAGCAGCAATACCTGTTCTCTGCTAATGAGATCTTCTGACTTTTCCAGGAATTTCTGCTTCTAACACCTGTATCACAGTTGTGATTTTAAAGGGAAGCCAGGGAGTGCAGGAGGAAGGAGCTAAGTTAATCTGTCTGTATGTGGCAGAAGTTCTAGCAGAAAGCTTTTGTCATCTCAGCAAGGTGCAATGGAAAGCACATGAGCTTTACATCCCCAAAGAGTACGTATAGAAAGAACATGGCAGGACATACAGTGGCACCAAGAGGACTGTCCTTGTCCTGTGATGGGTCACAGTGTCTTTGAATCAGCTCAAACTAACTGAGGAATCCCAGGGGCTGTCACAGAAAGCAACTAGAGTCCCTTCATTGGGTGTAACTGTTGTCAAAGTAGTGAAAAGTTACTAAAATTGCCATTCCATTTTTAAAGCAGATGCATTTTAAAAATCTTCTGGAGTCAGACATTCAGCTTACTTCCTCAGAACTGGAGGTGCTGTTATGTTTCAATTGTATTGTGTTAGGGCGCAATGCAGCGAGCACTTGTGCTTGCAAATAGTCCCGTGGACTACAACAGGGGCTGTGAACACTACATGAGATAAAGCATATTTGTAAATGTTTCAAGGAATTCCACAATATCTAAGAGACTAATTTTACTTGTAATACAGTGGATTCTCAGTCTTGTTTTCTGCATCAACAAAACGAGTAAGTTTGCTTTCATGCTATGATTTTCAGAACACACCACTTGTGTTGCAAATGCTGATCAGGCTGGATAGTATCAGTCTGCCATGCGCATTACTGTTCCATTTCAAAAATTTCAATTCACTTGGTTCAAATGCACAGCTTTTGGCCCATCATCTATGAAGCTTCCTCAAACAAGCAGAGAGAATTTGGTGCTACCCTTCACTCAGTTTTTTGTTAAAATGCATGGTTTTCTTTGCAGCTTACCCAACCTTTATTTAAACTTCGTAAGAACCTGCACCTTCCTGCCTTTGACCAACTACTTTATTCCAGCATTTGAAGTCACCACAACAAAGGTCTAATTTGGATTTCTTCCTTGTCAGCGTCCTTTGTACCTATGACTAACTGCAGGAAGATCCTTTAGCTTCTAAGCAGATTCCGTATCTTCTCTACTATCACATAAACCTCCTTTAATGCTATGCCCCAGCCAGCCCTTCCGTCATGTCTGCCTTCAGCCTTTTTTTTTTGAGGCCAACATCTTTTGAGTTGTTGTCACACCATGTGTTTAGCCATGTGCTTCAGTATCCATCAGAGGCTTCTCAATTTCCTTCAACCACTGGCTAAGCTGTCTTGTGCTCTGAGCTTACTCTGGCAACGTTCAGATCGCTTCAGAACTTTGGGTACGACACCTTGATGGCCACATCACAGTGCACAATGGGAGGAGAGTGCAATCAGGAGATCTGGGCACCCATCAGCACATGGCAGCACGGTACACTTCAGCAGTTCCCCCAGCTGAACCCCTTGGGAGAGCGCAACCTGTTTATAGCTCACAAAACACTCCCGACGAGATACACGCCGGCCTCTGAGGGCGCAAGAAAGACCTCTAGTCCCCACATAGCGGCCTCCATCCCGCCACAGGCCGCTCGGTCTCCGGCGGGCCGCTGCAGCCCTTCCCCAAAGCACCACCTCCCAGCCTCCCGCGGTGAGCCAGTACCGCTTTTCCCACAGCTCTGGCCCCAGCAGGGCTCTGGCCTCGGCGGCAGCCGGACACCGGCCCGGTGAGACGGACGGAGACCTCCTCCCGCCACCGCCGCCAGGACCGCTCCGCTACGGCGCATGCGCGGCAACGGCACGGCGTGGCGCGAGAAGGACCCGCGCGCCCGCCGGCAAGGGAGAGGGGCAGTTATAGTTAGATATTTCTTTTTATTTCAGGATAGAGTTCAGAAAAGACAGTAAGTATGTTGTAATGTTAAGTATATACTTTCAGAAATGTAATGAAGAGTAAGCATGTTACAACTTTACAGTAGAATGTTTTGCTAGAGATCAGATATGCTTTAGTACTTTAATATTTCTCCCCTCTATGAGTTTATGTTGGTTACACAGGATTGTGGAAAGAACTGGTGTTAACTGTGAGCATGGGAATAATAATCTTTCTTCCAGGAGAACTCTTACATTTCACTTAGCCATATATAGTCCATAATAGTTTTCTTGCCCTTCAGAATTTTGCATTCAGTTTTCCCAGTCAAGGTAACTAAACTCCTTATGGTTTTCTTTCTTCATTCCATGTGAATTACACTTACATGTGACAGTTTTATTGGCATTTCTAAACCAGCATAGTTTTAAAGGTGTCATGAGATGATAGGTAATTCAATAAAAGCTTGTGTTTAAAAAAAAAAAAAAAGTTAAATGCTTCCTTTAAAATTAACTACATTCATGGGCACGACTTAATAAAATGAATTTATTTTGCTTATGTGTATTCTCTGTGACATGATTTTTCTGTTACCTGAATTATTTCAAATACTGTGTTGGCAGCAGTCTAGAGTTACCGTTAGAGTATAACTTCAAACAGGTGGTTTCTAAAACATTAGGTAGGTGCAACTGTATCAGCCTTAAAGCAGGTTATATTGCCTAGACTAAGAGTTGCATGAACCAAGACACAGCCATCTAGCTTGTAGTGTAATTTTTCAGACTGTTTTGTGCATTATTTCCCATCACCCACTGAAACTGATATAAAGCCAAGAATGGAGAACCAGAAGGGTAAAACAGTAGTGATTGCTTCTGTCTGTGGTGGTATCATGAATGCACTTTGGGTTTGAGTAGTGGGTGAAATAAGTTAATTAGATGACTCCCTGTAAATTAAGGGTAAAGAGGAATGAATATGAATAGATTTGCTGTAATGCTTTCCTATACTGTTTTGACTTTTATTCTGTGTTACTTCTCCATGTCTAGATAAAGGCATTTAGGGCATATGTTTTATAGGAATTGAATATTAATGTTTTCTATTCCAATATGTAACTACTTTGGTTTTTTACTTGCAGAGTCAACTGTTCATTTTATTTCAAAATTGGAGCTTGTCGTCATGGAGACAGATGTTCTCGGTTGCACAACAAACCAACATTTAGCCAGGTTTGTTTTCCTTTTTGTTTTCTCTTTCTTGTGAAAGTATATTCTTGCTGCTTTGAAATGTAGATTCTCAGATGCAAGAGAATAATTACTGAGCTCCAGATTAACTAGTTCACTTTTGGCCCCAGTTTATATGGGTTTTTGCTTTTTTGGGGGTATTCCATTTACTTCTCCCAGCATTTCTAATTATCTCCTGTCACCCTTAATGGCTGCAGGAAGCGATGCTGTTGTAAGCTTGCCTGTAGTAGAGACCAACCAGTGCTAACTTTCAGGTGAGTGTGCCTTCTCAGTGGTGTTTAGGCACTTGAACCGTCCCAGATTTTTTATAATCACAAGCAATTACAGCATATTCCGCCTATCTCAAAGGTGTGAATTTAAGTCTTTTATTTATTAATTTTCTTCTATTATATACATAAAAACGACTCACCTGTCGTTACATTTGCTCTCTGACCCAGGCTCTTAAATTCTGAGTAACACATACTTACTTTGAATGCAAAAAAAATTGTTTCTTGAAAACAACTTGCCTGGTTGTTGAGGGTGTGTATGTCAGATTTAACAGATTATTTAATCTTTGGCTATCTGAATATTGTTAGAGACGTGAGGTGTGACTGCATGTCTGCCAGGAAGAAAAAGAAGGTGCAGTAGGTGATAGGGGTTTTATTATGAGCTTTATAGTTTTCAGAAATTACATTCCTGGAGACCTATATACTTTGCCTTTCTATCACTGCTGATTGTCAAGGTATACAAGTAAATAGATTTCTTTGGGAGTATTGTATAAGTAGTACCTATGGAAGTTGTTGCATTATCAGCAGTTTTGCCTACAAAAGTAAAGCTTACATAGAAGTGGAGTCCTCTGCAAGTTCATTTTAGCTGACTTGAAGCAAAATTGATGAGAGTGGTGACTGGTGTTCGTTTGGGGACAATTAGGGAGGCAAGTACTATCCACGTGACTGGTGTTCAGAGCAGTGGTGCTCGTGAAATTAGACTTTGCAAGTCTGTGAGTGGGTAGAGGGAGTTCTAGGGGAAACTTGTCTTGGTGACTGATCAGTAGGGACCGCTGCTTGTACTTCATCTACAAAACCAGTTTTCTGCTTCTGGGAATTTGATAATTTTTAATAATTGTATCTCAGAATATTGTTGGTTTTCAAAAGTAATCCATGTTGCTGACCTACATGGAGAACATGCTGAAATGTGATTGGTTGTTTAAAGACCTGAATTTAGGTCATTGGCTGCTATAAAATATTTCTAAATTAGACAACTTGCATAGTAGTTGTCTTTAAGTTTTTTTTAAAAACCCCAAAACCCATAATGAAAAAAAACTCACAAAATGGAACAAACAAAACTTTTTTTTTTTTTTACAGAAAAACTTCATATGTAGCAACAGTTTCCTCTGTCAGTGCAGCCTTTAGCTTTGCTTTAGAAACTGCAGTTAGTGATGCCTGCTGAGGTGGGTCAGCACAGGGCATGTCATTCATCCAGTGATGTCTGGGACTGCTACAGCATCACACCTGGCAGATGTGCTGTATTGTAACATCTCTAACACACCTGGCAGATGTGTAGGAACAGAAATCTTTACTTGTATGTGGATTGATAATCAGCTGTGATAGAAAATAGAAGAACAGGTCTCTTGGTAATGGGACATTACTGGCACAATATTTTTATCTTGTGTTGCTATTGCTGGTGCAGCTACTTTGTAGAAGAGCTGTGTTAGGAAAGGTCGTGCAATACAGGGTGATCAAATTACCACCAATCAGCAGAAACACTGTAACTATATGCATGTTTCTGGCTCTCTCCGATTGTAGGCTAAAACTTTAAACCTGGGCCATGGAAGCACAAAGCTTTGGTTGGTATGACCACAGCCATTATAAAACAAGTGTGTGATATTTTTTTTTTTTTAGAAATGTGATCTTATGGATTTTTTTTTTGTGTGTTAAGTGGGCAGCATATGTAGGTATGACATTGCTGGTCCTGTGACTTCTTTAAGCTCTGAATTCTTACTGTGACTAATAATAATGTGTAAGCTAAAATTATTTGGGGATTGCAATTCATACTAACGTTGAGCTTGTATTTTAAGTAATCAAATTTCAATTTTTGAGCTGCTTACAGTGATATGGACATTTGGAAATTTTTTGTAATATTAGTTTACTAACTTAAACATGGTTTGTTTTTTCAGACAACTTGATTTTAAGAAGAACGGTACAAATGTAAGGTTTCAAGTCTGCCTGGGCTAATTCTTCAAGTAAAAAGCAGAAGGGCTAAAAGGATGTTGTCCTTATTTGAAGGCTCGGAAACATGTGAACCTATGATGCTATTATATTATTTAAACAGAAATTCCACCAAGAAATTCCTGATACACAAAATGAGATGTAGCTCTTCCCTAAAAACCTGACTGGTGTAACATTTCAGACTCTGTGGCATTATGTATTATGCTGTGCACGTAACGCTTTTTTTTTTCCCCTAGACTTACAATAATGAATCTGGTCTTGAAAGCTAGGCATCTCTGTAATACCATGTAGTTTGATGTTTTAGGTTACTGGGCCTCAACTCCCATTTTGAGGATAGCTTTTGAGACAAATGCAGCTCTTTCTTGGTGGTTAATTAAAACTGTTTTCATAATATGATGGTCTGGATGCAATTTTGGAAGATATTCTGCAAATACAAAAGGAAGTCTTAAGAATAAAATATTACTTTTAGCTGTTTGCAAACAAGTTGTCTCTTTGCAATTGTCTATTATATGCACAGCAGCCAGTAGAATTCCCCTTTTTATTTTTTTTCCCCGCAGACCATCTTGATTCAAAACATCTATCGTAACCCCCAAAACAGTGCACAGACGGCTGACGGCTCACACTGTAAGTCCCACAGTTGGAGAAATTTTTTTAAAGAATGGTGTTAAAGAGCCCACTCCTAATTATGAGAAAATAATGTTGGCTTCTGAGCTGCTGACATAAAGCTGTTGCAAACAGGACAAGTGACGGAACTCTTCTTGCGCATAGATCAAGAGCTTGTCAAATGTGTGCAATTCAGAGTGCAGAACTGACTGCATAAATTGGACCTGATGCAGATTCTCTTTTGCACTGCAAAGTGAAACTTGATTGCTTAGTAACACTGTGTTCCTTTTAAAGGGATAAACTGCAGACATTTCTCAAATTCTTGATTTAACAGAAAAATAAAATAAAATAGGTATATGTGATGGACGGTAAGTTTCCCAAAACTGTGGGTTTTCTTTCATCTTAACTTTTTTAGGAAAATGGAGATTTCATGTTATGCTGTAATTATTGTATTACTTCCTTTCCTGGGATTTTGCTATTAAGAAACCATTCAGTAAAGCCAAATTCAAACCAGTCATTATGCTTGTAGTTTCATAACTCTGTTTGGATAATATCTATTATGTATCTGCCTGAAAGCATGCACCACTCTATAGTAATATTGGTGAATAAAATAAAGAAAAATACAATAATGCAGGATCATGAGATCTCTATTACTTTACAGTGTTAGGATGATTCAGAAAGGTCACCAGCTAAGTGAAAGTTCTCCTTCTTGGGAGAGAATAACCACCTCTCTTTCAGCACAGACTCGGCTAAAGCGACCCTAAAGGAAACCGGTTTCTTGTTAAAATTATTTTCCATAATATAAAGTTGTTGCGTTTTGTATTTCAGACCATTGCCCTCTTGAACATTTACCGTAACCCTCAAAACTCTTCCCAGTCTGCTGACGGTTTGCGCTGTAAGTTCATACAAGTTCCTTCACTGGTTCCCTGGGCTTGATTGTCAGAGCTCAGTGTCGACTTAAGCTGGTCTGCCATTTTAGTTTAACAGATCAAACTGACCACGTTACATTAAATGTGTCCAAAACAAACGCACACACACAAAAAAAAAAAAAAAAAAACCAAACTTTTTTAATCCCACTCACCTTCCTTCCTACTTCCAAAACTATGAGGGGAATCTGAATACCATCTATTAAATCAAAAAGGGTTGAAATTTTACTTCCCCTGCAAAGCAGTCTTGGTTGCACTGCTTTCTTCCCTTCGCCTTTCTCCCTGCCAGTTGCCTGCATCCTAGGAATGCTTTTCTGTATGTTTTGTGCTATCCATTAGGCTCCACTGTCTTTTAAAAAAGCAGGACAATGACACGTTTACTTCATCCCAAACAAATTTCCTGCTCTGTAAATGTTAAGAGAACTTGAATTTGAAACTTTTCAGACTGCATGCAGAAACTTGTCCTAGGTTAATGCAGCTTCCATTTAGAGTCTACTTTGGAACAATACACTTTGACTGACAAATGCTTCCCTTCTGGCAGCTGTCCTTTTTGGATAGGTGCATGCTTAAAATTCCTTCCATGCTTTGAAAGTTCAAATTCCAAAACCAAGTTGCATATGTACTTAAGAAAAATATATCTTTAAAAGTATTTTTGAGGAGGGGAAAACATTTGGGTATGGTCATGAACTAATTTAATGACTCCTCATGAGGTAGGAATGGGCATAAGAAAACACACCTACTGTGAGACTGGCAGAAGTTAAATGACGAGGATTGTTGATCGGCGATTACTGATTATATCCTTGTGATTGAATCATCAATATTAGAATAAGATTTTTTTTTTAAAAAGGGAAAAAAAAAGAAAATTTTAGGACCAAAAAGGATCGGTGTTATTTTCTAACTAATATTTCTTGCTGAAGTGAATATTGACTGTGTGGTAATAAAGCTTTGTTTGGCTATTCCTTTTTTTTGACTGTTGGATTATAGACTAGTTCAGATTAGTTACCAGCATTTGATTAGACCTGCTTTGTGAAATCAGCCACTAACTTAAAAGTCAACACTGTCTTCTCTTTCTAAAAGCAATAATGGCCCAATTAAGTAATTTGAGGGGTTTTTGTCACACAATCAAGCTAGATATGTAATGAGCTATGTAAGTTTGTCTAGATGCTTAAACAGTTCTATTGGTTTGTAGACTTTGTTGTGGATGCTTAGTAGTTTATGTTGTTTCAGTCAACCAAAAAAAAAAAAAAGAACAGTTGGGTATTTCCACTCTGTCCCTAAATTCTCAATGCGCTGGTAACTAATTTGCACAGAGTTACAGCAGTTTGGTCTGTGGAGCTGTTCAGACTGTACAGCTGCAAGAGTCGAACAGATTCTCTAGCGTTCTGAATGCTGGTATCCAACTCTAGTTTGTCTTGACAAATGGGTAGCAATTTAACAGAGCCTAACTGTACCTTCTGTGGTAGAGCTGGGGCTCTGTTACCAGTAGGTTTGCTGAAACTCCTGGCTCCCAGGGTTTTTGATATTTGTCCCTACTTAAGTACTGCATGTATTTTTAAATGGATAACTTGGGTAGCTATTTAATGCTTTTGTTGTTGTTGCTTAACTGTCTTCCTTTCTATTGCCGTCGTAGAGGATTAACCTTAGTTTTGAACACCAGTAGTTTTCCTGAGTATTTTAATTAGTAATTGGGCTTCTCAAGGTTCAGATACCAGTAGCCCTGGAATACAAATGTTTGTAAAGCCTGTGCATATGTACGCTTCCCCCATTAGAAGGACATTCAAGTAGTCATTAACTGTTGTTTATGATCTCCTAATTTGACAAATGAAATCTCCTTCAGTTTTTAGCATGTGTCCATCTGGTAAAAAATAATTATTCCCAGTGAGGCTCACAGAGCCCCTGTCTGATACCTTTTTAAAAAAAAAAAAAATCCTTAGGTACTAGTAAGCTGTTATCAGTGGTATTGGCAGAACCTTGGGAATATAGTTAAGTATTAAACTGGCTAGAAATACTGGTTTAATATTTGATATTCCTTAATTTGCTATGTAACTGTGGGGAAGAAAAAAGTTCTTAAAGCAAACATGTTTCAAATACAGAAATATTGTTAGCCTAAACTATAGAACAAATGTCCCTTAGCCTTCTTCAGGAGGTGAGCTGGGTGGAAGAAAATTAATTACAGCTACAGAGAATGTGCCTGGTTAATATTAGAGCCTTAGAAGAAAAAATTTAAATTCATCCAAATGGCAATATTAGCCAAAAATGAATGAGCCCAAAGCATCTTTTTTTTCATAGCAGCCTGAAGTGAATAAGCTCAGCTTTGTTGGCTTAGTTTCTTGTCTTTCACGTTCTGTAAACTAAAACAGTAGTGTTTGTAATTCAAAGGCTAGAATATTTTTCTAGTGTAAAATGCAGGGTTGACTTTAAAACTGCTCCGCTTGATCTTAATAAACCACTTAGCTGCTGAAGAGCTAATATATTAGGCTTTAATGTACACAGCTTAATGTAGTTTAAAATGCTGTAGACTGGAAGAAAGAAATGAAATTAATTTTTGTATTCTTAATGCCTTGAAAAATCAGCCAAACTTACGTTGTTTTTTATAGCAGCAGGCAAGCAGCACTCATTTATAATAAGTCCGGCTTGGAGCATGAAAATAATCTAACCTGGATATAAGGCTGATTTGTCTCGCACTTAAAGGTGTTCTTCAGGACTACAGAAAAATTAAGTGATATTCAAAATTAAACTAGAAAATTGCTCTCTATTGCAAAGCATTATGGTACCCTTCTTTGAGGGCACTGAGAAAAGTGTGTCACTTGAGTAATTATTTTGAGCAAGTTAAAAAAAATTCTGGACTGTGTTACATTGTGAACTCTCAAATTTTAGTGTATATGCTGGAGAGGTGGATATGTTAAAATGAAATTCTGCCTGTAGGAAGAGGAACACTAAATTGTAATCATGATTTTAAATATGCAGATGTAACAAAGCACTTGCCTTCTGTTTAGGTAAAATTATTGGTAGATAGGGGGTGGGACTGTACATTAAATTTAAGTGATATTTCAGAGTAATTCCTTTCCCCTTTAAATTTGTGGCATACAAGTTTGGCTCTGATTAAAACTTTGTTTGATTTAATCATGTCAATGTAATGTTTTGACATACACTTTGGGGACTCAAAGATCTTAACATATACTTATTTTTAATATTCCTATTAGTTAGCTCCTTGCTATATGGTGTCTTTTATGCTCCAGATGGCCTCTCTAGATTGTTTTGTAGTATGATCAAAATTTCTTCCTTATTTATAGGCTCTAATCGATATGACTCTTGATTTTTACAGGTGCTGTGAGCGATGTTGAGATGCAGGAACATTATGATGAATTCTTTGAGGTATGTAAAAGATGTGAACATACTTTAAAGTGTTTGTGGATTTGTCAACACGAATGAGTTAGATGTTTTTTGTTTCCTCAGGTGTTTGTAATACAAACTTAAGTGCTTGATATTTCCTGGTATACCCCGTGTTAGTTTGAACTTTACTGTTTATAATAGACTTGGCTTAAAAATCAGCAACTTAAATGATAGTGTTTTGATTGAATAATCCCCTCCTTTCCTGTAAATTTAAAATATACTTAATTATAAGCAAATTAAGTAAAACTATAGAATATCGTTTATATGTAGTGGTTTTGGTGTATCTTATGTATTCTGTAAATAGTGTATGCATAGTGTTTTCCATAGCTTTTTATTGTATGCTGTTAGTGCTGAGCTTACAGATGGACATGGTACAGGCCAAGCAAGTACTAATTTTAAAATGAGAAATGTTAAAAAAGGGGGGTTTGTATTGCTTCCTTTTTTAAGGAGGGCCTTCTTTTGTACTTACTAACAGCTAAATTCAATACTTCTGTGCTTATAACTAATGAGCTGCAAACTTTTAATTGGTGGCTTTGTGCTTAGGAGGTCTTCACAGAAATGGAAGAAAAATATGGTGAAGTTGAGGAGATGAATGTTTGTGATAACCTTGGAGATCATCTAGTTGGAAATGTATACGTAAAGGTAGGATAAAGAGATGTTTATATAATCAATAAGGGGTGGTATTTATTGATTTATAATTTTAAAAGCTATGCTTGTAGATTTTGTGATAGTAGCTCTTCAGGATGTAAGCTCTTCTCCAACTTTAGAAAGTAAAAAGAGTGAAAATGTGGATGGAATCTGAAGGAAATGTTGAGGTAGTGAGAAGCATTCTTGACAGTCAAAGTCTGTATTGTTTTCATTAAGATTAATGCCTTTTTTACATTGTTATAAACAGTCACAATTGCTGGACTACTTGGTTTACTGGGATTAATTTGGGGTCTGTCTTCCCATCACATTGCCTTTTAAACACTTCATTATGAGCAGAGCTTTATTTGCAACAGGTGTGTTTATTTTCAACAGGTGAATTTATTTTCCAGCTTCCCAGTTGTAACCAAGTTACATGTGGCAGTAGCTGGTGTTTTAAAGTGTGAACTGAAGCACTTAGGTTTAGCCCTTAAGTCACTGGTATCTCTTGAGGAATGAGTAAAGAGTTGTCACCTGCAGAAATTTTTTATTGTGTGTACAGTGTTGGGGAGGTATGAGAGTTTGAATATTTTTACTGTACATTCCCTTAACTGGAAAGTATTTTCATGCCTAAAATTCTCAACTGTGTACGTCATAATCAGAAATAAAAGTAGCTTTTAAAAATTTGCAAGTGGCTAGCTGTGAAAAGGAATTTCAGATTTTAGTTTTACATTCTTCATAAAACAGGATCAGATTTTTGCAAATTCTAATTCAAATGGAGTGCTTTAGTTCTCATGCAGGTTTCTCTGAAATGTTTGAAAAAATCCATTATATTTGGAGCATTAGTGCTCTAGAAAGTACTCTTAAGCATTCACTTTTTTAAAGTTGTACTTAAGAAAACAATATCTACTATTGTATTTCTTAATGCAAGCCATAAAACTTCAAAGACCAAATAGAACATAATTAAGAGAAACTGTCAATGTTTTGATTAACTCTGAGTCCTGATTAATGAAAAGCTAGCTGTACCCTTGATTTGATGGACTGTCCCAGGAACTCTGAAGTAGTTTCTACTTTGATTACGAGTCCTAAGCCTGTGATTTCACTCAACTGACTGATTTGATAGGAATCAGTTGCTTCTCTAACATCAGAAAATGTTAACTTTTATTTTAGTTTCGCCGTGAAGAAGATGCGGAAAAGGCTGTGATTGACCTGAACAATCGCTGGTTTAATGGACAGCCCATTCATGCTGAGCTTTCACCTGTGACTGACTTCAGAGAGGCCTGTTGCCGTCAATATGAAATGGGGTAAAAAGTGACTTCCTGTTTGCCTGTGACAGTATCTTTGAAATGCTTGCACAGACAGGGTGGTTGCTTGGGTGTGACTTTATGGGGAGCTTAGTGTAGGAAAAAACCCACTTAGGTAATGTTAATGTGGAGGACCTGCGGTGAACCTCCTGACTTTTGCTATCTTTTTAGGATTTTGATCTAGGAATGAGTCAGTGTCAGTAATTGATTCTTTCAATTTACTGGTTTCAGTGGTAGAAGTAACTAACTACCTTTTAGATGGGTAGAGGTCCATTAGGACTCAGGGCAACCAGATACAGTTTAGAGCTGGTAATTTTAACTGTCTTGAATTCTGTTTCAGAGAGTGTACACGAGGAGGTTTCTGCAACTTTATGCATTTGAAGCCCATTTCTCGAGAGTTAAGACGTGAGTTGTATGGGCGGCGTCGTAAAAAGTAAGTTTGCTTTTAAACACAATTAAAACAGGTAAATTAAGGATCAGTTGCTGAAAACTCTGAAGGCAAATCTTTAAACTTGAGTCCTCTCTTGTTTTTTCTAATGCAGTTCTGATGCATGCCAATGAAAGGGCATCAAGTAAAGCTAGCAAGGGGCCAGTTCAGAACAAAGGAAAATAGGTCTTTGTTTAAAAAAAAAAACCAACAAAGTTATGGTGCTTCTTGCTCTGTGGTGCTATTGGATGGTGAAGGTTAATATGGCTTTAAGAGAAGGAAGGGTTCAAGGAGAAGAATATTTACTGAGTTACTAGGTATATAGGGACTACCCATGGTTCAAACTTCCAAACTGTAAACTATTACAGGCAGACACTATTAGAAGTATTGCTTTATGCCTCTTACTTTCTTCTAAATATATTTGCTGTGGCCTCTTAGAAGCAGGCTACTTGGCTGATGGGCATCTTGGCAGGTTCAGACTGGCTGCTTCCAGTATTACACAGTCAGGCATATCTATAATGATATTCAGGACCCAGCCTTACTTGTTCCAACATTTAATGGCTCACTTTTCTAGCCTGTATTTATTCCTTAGTGTTAGTAACAAGCAGTCACTGTTCTGAGCCTCACTTCTTATTAATGCTAACCTCACCATGTGGTCCTTCTTGATAGAAATTCTCAGTAGGGCTAAGCAATAGTAATTTTGCTTAATAGCAAAAAAAGTGATAAATACATTTTCATAAATAATTTAATATATGTAATAAGGTACCTTGTATAAAGTACCTCCTGCTGTTACTATGATACCTGTCTTGTGGATGGTTCCCTTTGATCTGGATTCAATCTACTTGCTTTTAAGACTTTGCTATTTAGGCTAAGCATATAAAATTGTTGAGCTTCCTTTTTAAATAGAGCACAATTTTGTAGGTTTCTTTGAATCACAGAAGGAGCCTTGGATTATGAACAGGTTTTTCCTATAAATGTCTCTTAACTGGCAGTGTCTTAAAATTTGTGAGGATGAGTTTAACTTTGGGAAGAGTAGATCATGTTGCTTAGGTACATGTATTATGCCTAAATACTTTACTGAAATATCCCAATTAATATTAAACACAAATGTAAGCTTTTAACATGTTTGATTTATGAAAAAGACTAAGTATGCTCTTGTATTAGCCTTCTGGTCGCTTCTATGAATCTGAGTATCTCAGACTTAGTAATGCTGTGAAAAGGTATCAGCTTTTATTGCAAGAAAGATCAGACTTGTGTGTTAGGCTTTGGAATATGATTGTTTTACCCATAGCCTAGTTTCAATCTGTGGTAAAACAAATAAAATAGCTGAATCCTCAATCCAGTTTTGTCTTTATTGGCCCTATTTAAATTCTTTGTGTAGTTAAAGCTGTCACGGGTTAGCAGTAAGGCTTGATATACAAAAAAAAAAAAAAAAAAATCAGTTCTGTCAGTGGGGTTTCACAGGTAGGCTGTATAAACTGGACTGACCTGAAGGTAATTCTGCACAGTAAAATCTATTGTCACACGCACTCCCACCTCAAAACAGCTCACCATAGAACAATATTCTGCAAGCTTAAGACATTTGTAGCATTTGTTTCCCTGAGCTTTTTAGTTCTGCTGTAATTTCTACATCTATTTAAAACTGTACTGTTTACCTATTTTATAAAATTGACTTTTTAAAAATGTTTAAAAACGTTCAAATCGCTCTTTTCTTTGACAAGTGCCATGTCAGCTATAAATCCATAGTAGCTGTGTTAGCAGTACATTCTGGGTGGTTTTAGCTTTCTTCCTGAACTTAAGTCATTGACCACAGAGGCAGGGAAGATTATTTGCAAATGCTGATGGCTTCTGGAAGGGTGGAGGGTAGGAAAAAAAATGGGGGGGGGGAAAGAAAGATAAGAGTTGTAACTGCTAATTAATGCAGTTGATTTAATAAGAGTGGGCTTACAGCTGTAGGCTTTTGCTGTGTCTTGCTAAGAGCTATTCATAACTGCAAAAGCAGGTGTCCCCCTGCTCTTGCTGCTTTAACAGCTGTGTAACGGTACATTTGGTTCCTCCATGTGCCTTTCCTGAAGTTTTGCACATCACTGCAATGGTGACTGGCAGTGAACAGTTGAGTCTCTTAACAGTACGTGTTGACTCCTCAGTATTATGTTCAGTTTGTAAATACATGGTTTCACAGCCTGAGTGCCAGTTTACCAATCCTTCTAATGCCACACTGTCTCTCTTCTCCCTCATTACCAACATCCTTAAGTGTTCCACTGTGTGGTACTACAAGTAAGTTCCTGAATGTGATGAAACAATAAAATGTTCAAACTTTCTCTGAAGGCATAGATCCAGGTCGAGGTCCCGTGAACGTCGGTCTAGATCCAGAGATCGTGGTCGTGGAGGTGGTGGTGGAGGAGGAGGAGGACGTGAACGTGATAGGAGGCGGTCAAGAGATCGTGAAAGATCTGGTCGATTCTGAGCCATGCCATTTTTACTGTATGTCTGCTAGAAAGTGTTGTAGTTTGACCAAACAAGTTCATAATGAGATTTTTTTTAAAGATGGGCTTCTGAATAAAAAATTTGTAGTGATACAGTATTCTTTGTGTAACTTGTTTCTTGTGGGGGGAGTCTTTTTAACTGTCATTCCTCTTATCTTGACAAATACCTGGATTAACTATGCCTGAGGGAAAGGTGGTAAATGTATTGGAGGAGCGCCAGTTTTGGTTTTGTTTTTTTTTTATTCGGGTATAATTTGAACTGTTGATGAAAATGTGTGTGTATATAATATAAAATATTATATACATAATAAAAATAATATACTGCTTAAGAAACAGTTACTCACATAAGTTTCCCTTTTCTGCTATGCTGTCTGCTTATTTAGGTTAGTTTAGGCACATTAAAAGGAAGGCTGTGCAAAATGCATTTATTTACCAAGTAGAAACGCTTAGTTACAAAAATGTATGTTTGTTTGTTACCAGAAGTCTGTGCTCTGTCTATCAATGTGACTGTGGCATTTACAATAAATCCAATTTCTTGGTGTAAAATCTAAAGCCTATTTTCTAAGCACTCTGGAGTAGTTGAGTTACTACTCCTGGCTGTGCCAGAGTTCATAGTTCAGGTTTTTTTATGACTCCTGACTAAATTCCTTGTCTTTGGCCGGAAAGAAAGTTTCCTAGTGCAGTGTCAAAAAAAGTAGTATTTTTATTGGAATGATTCATAACAGGCAGGTGAGGTTTTTAAAAACGCTCATGCTCCATGCAATATGATACATAGGATCTATTGAAGGAAATACTAGGTCCTAAATACAAGGACCAAATTTCTTAAGAGACTGACTTTTTTTTTTTTACTCTATGTTCTCTTACCCGTCATTTAATGAAAAGCATTTTGTTAGCATTCAAGGTCATAGGAAACTAATTGGATGCTAGTGTAAAATATTTTTTTTGCCTTTACTCACTTTCTGATGGTCTGAAATGCAATAAAAGCTAATGGATAGATGGCAGTTTCTTCACAAATAAGACATTTTTCTGTCTGAATTTTAACTGAGTTGTACAACAGCTATATATTGGAGGTTGTGTATCTCTTAAGGAGTTAAAGCTCTAAGTGAAATGTTGCTGGAACATCTTGAGACAATTTGTACAGCAGCTGACTTGCAATTTAGCTTCATGTCTACTTTTATTCAAAGTGTAGTGTACTAAGAAATTTTTGTCAGTGGTCACATTTCTGCAAGGTACAACTTTATGGACATGAAGCTATGTAATACAATATAGCTTTCCAATGGGGGAGAGAACTTAACTAGTGCTTTTTTAGTTCTAAGTCAGATAACTTGCTTAATGATAAATCTGCTCCCTGATTTAAAAAAAAGAAAAGAAAGGATACAGAAGTGTCACACAGCCAGATTAACAAACCAGCTCTTCTCTGCCCCCGAACTAAGTATAAAACCATTTTGCTCACTGGAACTTGGAGTTGACAAACAAAATATTGAAAAATGAGCTTTTCTGAATTAGTCTGCTTTGCCTCTTACAACTAAATTCTTGCACCAGTTCAATTTGAATTTTGTTTGCACTGGATGGCTTGGCCAACCAGATTACAGAATTTTGTCAGTAAGCTTTTTAAAGAAATGTATCACTCTATGTGAAGATGGCTTTACTGTTTATGTTTTTTTGCAAGTACATAAATAAAATTATGCTTTCTTTTCACTGGAAGAAATTGAGCAGTGCCTGGCAATAAATGGCTGAACTGAAACCTGTGGTATTTCTGCTAGGCATTAGGAATTTAACATTGATGACTTAGTTCTTGCAGTTTACAGGATATTGATCCAGTTCCATTTCCACTTCAGTGAGATTTAGGATTACTAGTGAGATAATTTAAAAGTCAAGCTCAAAAAGGTGAGGATAGTCTTGAGGTTTTTTTAAATAGTACCTAGTATAATGTGGATACTATTTAAAAAGGCTGAAGATAGTCTTTACACAAATTAATGACACAAGTTGTTTTGCTCTATAAACAAGTTATAAACTAGTCTAAATGTGTCCTTGTAAGAGCTTTCATCTGTTTGTCTAACCCTGTTAAACTGCAGGTATATTTTTATGTGAAAAGATAGCAGAATGCTGATTTCTTCCTTTCCCCCAGTACACCTTTTTTTAAGAAAGCACTCTTCCACCAAATGCATCATTTTATGGTATAATTGCACAGCTACCCAAAAATTAACCATGTAACTGGAATATGCCATAATGGGCACTGAAAGCAATGGATTTTACTGGATACTCGAAGGAAAAAAGTGCACTGATCGCTACCTGATCATGTAATGATTACCTAGTGACAGCATTCAGCATATAAATTAAGATTGTGACATATCTTCAGTTAGGTTCACTATTAATCTATACTACCAGTAAAATTCATCAAACTTTAAATTTCAAGTCCACAAATTTGGGTTAAACATGGTATTCAAAACTATTGGTTTACCAATACAAACCAAGTGAAAATTTGACCCTCCCCTTCTATTGTTGCTCATAATGTCCTAAGAGTAGGTTTGGTTTTTTTTCCCTTCTTCCCAAAGGTACCTACTTCTCAAATATTTAATTGTTGGCTCATTAAACAGTGGCTCTTAAGTTATGGAATTGCTTTACCTCAAATAAGTGACAGCATACAGTATTTTCTGAAGTCTGAGTCAATTAGGTTGAAACTGTTAATCCCAAGTGGCTTCCTCTTTGTATTTGGCTCTTATTCTGTGAAAATGCTGCTTGTCCATGAATATGATGTATGTTGAGACTGTAAAACCAAATGGAGAAAACTTGTTCAAAATAAAGCCTTTTTTTATAAGAATCTGAAAAAAATTATCCCTTTCCTTTAGATGGAATGCTGCTCTTTAAATGACTAATGAGGACATAGACTACAAGTTTTAAATTTTTGGCTCTTGAGCTATTTTTGATTGATTCTTTGTCTTTTTTTTTTTAGAGCTGGTGGAGCATGTCTTGAACTAAAAAAAAAAAAAAAAGGGGGCAAACAACAAACCTCTACTCGATAAAACTGAAATAGCAAGAGAGTGCAACTTGAGGTTGGGAATTGATTAAGGGTTCTGGTTGAGAGGTCCTGCAAGCTTCTGTAGCGGTGGTCTGTAGAGAACAAGAAGGCTTGTTTTTGACAGAAGGAGCATGTTTGTTTAAAGAAATGAATTAACAGAAGGGTCATGGCTTCTAAAAGATGATTCTTCCTAGGACTGCAAAAATCTGGGTGTTAACAACTGTGTCCATTGCTGCTATTTTACAACAGCACCTTAAACTGAATATACTGCTTTTAATATATCAAAAATGAAACTGCTTTCAGAGCAGTTGGGGGAGGGGGTTTAATTCACTCCGTTCTCCAGATGCTTGTAACTACAACTGCTGCTGCTGCACTGATGACTGCCCAAAAAAGCTGTCATGTTCAGGAAAAGTCAGAGCTGAAAAACACAGCTGAGTTGGTGTGCACTCACTTCAGCTGGTAAGGAAGTAATGCCTAACAGGTAAGGGTGTCAGAAGAGAATGTTTGTAGCTTTTGCCCTTTATTGCAAGGATGAAGCTGAGCTGTGTTACTCCAGATCACAATTTTACCTTGGAGTGCATGAATTTCAATTTGGAAAAAAAACAGAATTGCAGCCAAATGTTTATAGAATAAATCAATGTATCTTTATGTTGGATTGATACATGATGCATTCTAAAACTGTGCACAAGTATTTCTTAATTCATCCGATTAGCGAAGGTTAGGGGTTTTTTTTACAAATGCCTCGATTCTTTCTTTTCACAATATTAAATTTGTTAAATCTACATATGGAAAATGGAGCATGCCTCCTGATCTATGTGAACAATCCTTCCTTGTCATCAAGGTACATATCAGTCATATACATCTAATCACCTGTTAATATGTCATGTTTTATTTCTTACAAAATTGTAACCTCCAGCAAGAACAACTGCTAGTGAAAGGACGCTGTTACCCTATACTGCAGCCCCATAGTACATCTGCAGCGGTAGCAGAAGCACTTTAGAAGGTGCTTGTTTTCCTGCTGGAGGTTACTGCCAAAAAAGCTGTTCGAAACTTTCAGCTGTTTCGAACTGATCGAAACTTTCAACTGATCGAAAGTTTCAGCTGTAAATTGGATTTGTGGGATTGGTTGAATAGTGGAAGCTAACAAATCAGTTCTGCTGCTGACACAGGAGCTCTGGTAGCCAGTGGCTTCATTTCGACATGTGATGTAGGAGGGGAAAGGCTGTGCTTATCTCTAACTGTTGAGATGAAAATGCCTAATTAGCAGTGGTCTGATAATCATCAGGTTCGGTACTTTTTTTCATAATTTCGGTTTTGGTGTTTGCTTTCTAACTAGATCGTTTTGACAGGACCAAAAGGCAGTTAGGTGCATTCATAAGCCAGCAGAGCAGAAAGGTGCTAACTTCTGATGGGATGCTGGGGACAGCAGCTTCTGGGGTGAGCTGGAGCCCTGGAGCAGCTTGTGTGAATATGGTTGGCCCTTTGATCCAAGTAACTTAAAAATATCGAGAACTCTGCAAGCTGTTCCCATGAGGAAGGGAAAATTAATACAAATCGGGTATTCCTTTGGGACAAATCCAAGCGTTTTTGACAAAGGTATCCAGAGTTCTGTTTTCCTCAGCACTGTGAAATCGCTGTGCTGTAGGCCACTTCTAGCTCTCAGTTTCTAAAACTGCATGTTTAGTTTGATCTGGGGAAAAAAAAAAAAAAAGTTTTTCCTCTGGTTTCAGTGAGCTGCAAGACAAAAGTGGGGAGAAAGGCAGCAGATAACAATCAAGCTGGTCTCCCTACCTCTTTGTTTTTCACAGAAAAGCCTTTAGTCTACCAGGCTTAGGCTTGCTGTGCCTTTGCCAGCACCTGGCTTGATTTCAAGTCTTGCTACCTATGCAGCTGAATATTGGACATGTTTCAGATCGTTCTCACTTTCTTCCTGGAGCTGTCTGGGATTCCGGCCAGACCAAGGGAGGGAAGAAGGGAGTTGCTTCCACTGCAGCCTTCACACGAGCCTGCCTCCTGGGCCTGTGGGAAGAGCCGGGGGAGAGACCACTCCTCCCTTTTCTACCCATCCCTATTTCACTTGAGAGCTAATACTGCTCATGTCTAAGAGAAAGGTAAGAGAGAGCTTCACACATGAAAACAGTCCTGTATTTTCCATCATTTCCTCTCCCTCTTTCCACTCCAATGAACATGGAGGATGCTGCTTCTCTGTTTCCTCTTGTGTTGGTGGAGAAAAAAGTCCTGGAGCTGCAGGAGGAAGAGATTTGATAAAGGGACTCTGAGGCAGGACATGAACTGATTTCTGGACAAAGCACAAGTAGAAAGTGAGCAGACAGCCTTACTGACTTTGGAATCATATGCAACATTAATTGTTGCATTGTTGGATTAGGGATGGGCAAGGGAAATTCCGAAGTCTAAGACAGGCCAAAATCTGACCAAGTAGTGGTCTCATTAATGTCTTTTCATTTGGGGGTGGGGGGGTGGGGGGATTGACTCATTATTTTTGACCCTTTCATGTGACTGTGTTGACCACAACAAAGAGAAATTTAGTTGCTCTTCTGGCTCAGCCTCCAAGGAGGTAAGCCTTGGATAAGTCTGATTCTCAAGCACACACGTAGTGTCAGCTCTAACATCTTACAGAAAAAAACATCTTCAGCAAGGGGAATAGATCTGTAGTGAAGAGAGAGTAGCAGGTTACATCCTCCTTGTACTACTAGTAGATGGTTTGAGCAAGGTTTATGACAGACTCTCACTCCACCCTAGTATCCAACCTGGGTTATTATCATCTGCATAGGTGGCTTGTCAGATGAGAGAAAAACTGGCTGGGCCATTGGGTTTAGAGGACAGTGATTAATAGTTCATACCCTCCCTGGAGACCAGTTACAAGTACCATATGGGTCTGTGATGGCATCTGTCCTAATATTTTTATCAGTAGTTTAGAGGAGAAAATGAGTGCATCCTCACTGGGTTTCTGGATGACACCAAACTAGGGTGCTGTACCTGACACACAAGAGGGCAAGGCAGTTATACATGGGGATCTGGGCAAGCTGATGGATCAAACCCTGGCAGGACACAGCCTGGGGACTGCTTGGCAGGGGAGCAGTGCTACAGGTGAGGCCCTGGGGGTCATGGTGAGCAGCAAGCTGGACATGAGGCCACAGTGTGTCCTTGGAGCAAAGAGGGCCAACTGTATCCTTGGCGGGATGAACAGGGACAGCCAACAGACTGAGGGAAGTGATTATCCTCCTCTACTTGGCACCCGTTATAGCACATCCATTTTGAGCCCCCAGTATGGAAAAGACATCAGTAAATTGAAGTGAGTTCAGGGTGGCGGAGAGGACTGCCAAGACAGATAGGGATGGAGTGGTGGCCCTGTGAGGACAGGCCAGGTAAGCAGGGCTTGCTTAGCCTGGAACAGGGATGACTGGGCAGGAGCCTAACAGTCACCTCCCTGTGCTACAGAGAGGTCAGCAAAAGGAAGAGCTCGTCTTTACTAAAGTTATAAAAATTGAAAGAGAGGAAGTTCCAGCTGAGTGTAGGGAAAACTTTCCCTATGAGGACAGTCAGATGCTGGACTGGCTGTGCAGTCTCTGTCTTGAAAGGCTTTCAAGACCTGACTGGACAAGGTCTGAGCAACCGGGGTTGATCTCCAGATGAACCCTGCTTTGAGCAGGAGGCTGGAGTGCAGATTTCCCAAGGTCCCTTCCAGCCTAAGCAATGTTGTGGTTTGGATGTTTATCCTAAATCCTTGTTCCTGTAACTTTGACCTTTTCTACTTTCTCCTACTCTTGAAGGAACATTAAAAATTGTTTATCCCTTTTCTCATTGCACTCTAGCTAAATGAAGGCAACTCTACCTTTTATTCAGTTTTCTCTTCTCTGAACAGCTCCACTTCTTTCAGTCTTTACTCCTGGGTTGTGTTTCTCTCTACACCTTCCTCAGGCCATATCTTTTTTGAAATGCAGCATTCCAGATGGGAGGTGGTACCTCAACGAAGTGCACCAGCGCTGAGAGTGCCATGTGTCCTGCAGACTATATTCCTGTTTGCATAACCCTGTATGATGTTTGCTTTTTTCACAATAGCAGGGCCTTGTTGACTCACATTGAGGTTGCGTGGCACTATAGCCATACCTTCCACTCCACACAATTGCAGTCCAGATAGTGGCTACTTCAGCAGCTGATTGCTCCTGTCTGGCTGTAAAATTTTGCATTTGTCCTTAATGGCTAACTTCCTATTTTACTTTCTCATTTCATTTCTCCAGTCTGTCAAAGATAATTTTCAATTATGAATCTGTTCTCCAAATTGTTTGTGGTGTCTCCCATGCAGTTAAAATACAGAGTGGCTCTTATTGGGCTGCTTTTTCCTCCCTTTGTATAAAAATGTTTCCATGAACTTGTGCAATAGCTTTGTGCTCTCCCTTCCCAACAGGGCTCTGGGTACCACTAAGGCACCATTTGTTCTTTGGGTAACTTCGTTAGTCACTCATAGAAAGCCTCCTCCACCTGCTCTTCCTCCTTCAGTGATCCTACCACAATAGCATTTACCTTTTTTGCCCCCTCCTTTCAATCACTGATTGCACTTGTCCAAGGGATCTCTCTCCTCGACCTTTCAGCCTTTAGCATGTCTGCTCATCACTGATACAAGAAACAATATTCTCTGCTTGCTGTTCTTAAGCAAGCTGTTTATTTCTATGTTAAAATTCCAGTTGGTGTCACATCGCCCCTATGCTGATCAAATAATAATTTTGATTATATACCAATCCTCACTGCAACTCCTCTTGTTCTTGGGAGAAAAATAATCTGAAGCATTATCAAATCTCAGGAATTGGCTTAAGTGCCTCCACTTATAAAATTGGTAGTGACCTGCTGATTTATTGAAGTTATTTGCAAGGCTGGGTTGAAGAGTAATCTCAGTGTCCCGCTGATTAGGCTCAGCCATCATGGGTCTAATTAGTGGGCAGTGGGGTGGAGAAAAGCTTTGTGTATTCAGTCCCAGAGACCATGACTGATTTTACTGCCACTAATGCCAGTGGCGCAGTGTGCGTCTGTGTTGCTGTGGATATCTTTTAAGTCAGGTTTTCTTTTTTAAGTCAAGTCCCATTTTCTTGTTAGTGGTGTCAGTTTACCTTCACCTAGCTGCTGCCATGGTGAAGGAGACTGAATTTTGAGTGCAGAGATGTGATGCAATTACAAATCCCTCTCATTAGCCTCATATGTTAAGTTCAGATAGTTTCCAACGTGCCTACCGCTGTCACTTGGTCTCACAAGTTTTCTCTGAGGTATCTGGTTTGAATTTTACAGGATCTGGCAAATCCACCTGGGCTGCTGATTTCGTATCTTGATTCCCATCTGCCTGAAGTTGCAGTGGTTGCTGCGAGGCTGCCACTTTTTCAGCTAGGACAGCTGACTCGGTGCCTCTTCCCTTCATCCCTCCTGAAAGGCATGAAAGGTATGGTTACCCCTCCCTGGCTATCCTCTGTGGGTATGACTGCAGTTTTCAAACCCCTGCATGCATTCTGTTCCAAATATTCATTGATTTTTGCTTTGCTGTGCTTTGTGGCTGGGCCTCGTGTGCCCTGGTGTTTCACGGTTTTTCTGATATCCATTTCAAGAGCCAGGCATTCTTAACATCACCGTCTTCACATCTGCATTCCTCTTGTGCCATTCTGTAATTTAGCTGCAGCAAATGCAAGCCAGAATCTGATTCCACATGCTTTTCCAGTTGATGTTTTTCCAGTGGGGCTAATGGTGCCTTGTCCAAACATCACTTTACATGCATATTTCAGACATAATTACCTAGGAAAATTGTGATTTGAAGTAAATAATTGTCCTGTTTAACAGCAGTATTTTCTGGTAAATCTGTCTTTAGGAAAATGACGATAACAACATGGAATTCAAAGTAGGTTTACATCTACTTTGATCCAGAAAGGGGCAAGGAAAAAGCAATGTAATTTGTTATCAACATGGATTTTTCTCTGTAATTTGTGTGGACTTTTAGCATATGTAATGAAACAGTTGCCTCAGTGTCACTGTTTATTTAAGGCCAATATAAAATGCCTGACTTTTGATTTTTTTTTAATTGCTCAGTGTTTTCCCTGTGTTTTTTCATGAATTTCACCCCACATTCTAGTTACGGTCCATTTTCTTACCAGAGAGACCCACCCTCACCTTTGTAACCCTAGGGCTGGTCAGTCATTCATCTTCAGACCAGTCACATCCAGTTATAAAGTCTCTTCCATCATTTTACCACTTGATTAAAACATCCTGTTCCTTACTTTTTATTTTTATACAGCATGCAATACTCTCCAAATAGCTATACTACGTAGTATCTAAATGTACAGATGGAGGCATACAGTTGTCTGCACTCCTTCGATTACCTAAAACACATGGAACACTTCAGGGTGAATCATGTTCTAAAATAAAGCTATCTTGAATTGCTTTTCTCTTTATTGGTTATTTTTTATAGATACAGAAGAAATTGCTGCTTGGACTTCCTACAGCAACAAGATACGTTCCTGAGATCTCTGGTAAGCCTTTTTGGTATCTCATGATTTCATGCAAGGATTTCAATTTTGTTTTTTTTTTTAACTTTCCACATGATCTGGAGCACCTTGTGATTGTAAAGAATTACTCTGTGACAATTTGCACTGAGTGTCTTAAATTCACCTGCACCCCGTGTTACATATCGTAAAGCTCCATTCACAACAGTGCAGATGCAGCCATTGTGACCCTGGGCAACTTCCCAAGCGAATACCTTCATTAGCACATTCTCAGACACCATCAGAAGTGTAACAGTTACATCAGAGCATAATAACTATCCCTTACATTGGTGGCATAAGGACTCACAGAGATGAAGGCAATGTGGCTAGGACACAGGCCCCCCAGGAGGCTCAAGATGGTTGCTCCTTCCTCACAGGCAGCGCGCAGCCTGCCTCTGTGCCGGCAAGTGCATCAGCAGACGAGTGCCAGATTGTAGGCAACACAGGAGCTCCGAACAGAGAAAGTGTTTAGGTGTTTTCCAGCCTTCACGCTCAGGGCTTGTTTACCCCAAAAAGTGCTGTGTTTCTTCATTTGTGGCACAACTACTGCTAGTGAAACGTGGTGGGGGGGAGTTGTTTCAGCGACACACTTGCACTTGCTTTCAGAAGCACAGCTTCCAGCCTGCATCTCCCAAATGGGGGATTCACCGGCTCCTTCTTGCCCCAGGCTGGGTATTTCCAGGCTTTGACATGAGACCGAGAGACGCCTGGGCCTTCCTCTCTCCACCGATGCCTACCTGGGCAAGCCGAGACAGGGCCCACACCGCTGGCGGCACCAGGCCGGGTGCCCTGCCGCAGCGCCACCCGGAGACCTCTTCAGGGGCTTCAGGTGCCAGAGGAGGGGGCGTCTGGCTGCAGCCCCGACCTGACACTCCTCACAGCAGCCCCCTCTGACGCGGCGGGTAGGTTTTTTTTCCCCAAATTAGACAAGCAGCCAGTGACACTGGCCGTGCGCGGCAGTTCCGAGCAGTCTCTGTGCCTGTTCCTCCCTACAGCCGGTGCCCACGGGCCCACGGTTAAATGTCGCCTTCGAAGGCGGGGGCCTGGGCACCGGCCGTAGGGAGGAACAGGCAGAGACCTCGCCTCGGGCTCCACGAAGCCCATTTGGAGAAACCCTTTGCCCCCGGTTTCCCCTCACGGCTCCGGCCCGGCCGCCCCACGGCTGCAGACGGCAGTGCCCCGTGGCCGCGCGCCGCCTCCCCATTGGCTGCCCCTGACGCGCCGACGCCCCCGTGGCGGCCAAT